GGTGATAATTCATTGATAGTTACACTTATATTTTTACATGTAAGATTACCGATACATTATCCTCACCCATGCGGCCATTGTGTATAAATATATTACAGTGCTTACATAGGTCAAGTAAACGCTTATCATCACCGTTATTTACACGCACCGTAGATGACCTTTGTCTAGGTACATTGATATCAATTAGGTTGCATACATCGGAAAATTAACCATAATCATCAGCTTCAAAGAAATCAGGGATATCCGTAGTCCGACCGCTAGAGTCACCAAGTAGGCAAATATATTTGTTATCCTGTGATTGGAATGGTACTTGATCGTTTTCCACGTCTTCAAGTAATAAGTTTGATTGGATTTATTGGCCGTCGACCCAATACGCCAATATGGGTATCATTTGACAGACCACAATCAACACACAAACGATTCAATAATATCTAACCAGCGGTTTCTGGGTATCAGCTCCCCGCTGATTATTGTGCGAATCAATAGATTAACGCTTTGAGGGTGACCAACTTCCCGTCAAACAATAATTAATAGTTTCTGGGTATCATCTCCCTGTTAATTATCAAGCAAATTCAAAATCATCTATCAAATATCAAGCTGCACATGCATTGAATATAACACAGATCATCAATGTTAATATATAAATCACAATAAATGAAATGTCCATAATACGGTCAAATAGACACCTAGCACTAAATCATAACCTACAAGATTCTGGAAAACAGCTCTCCCGTAAATTATGATGAAAGTTCAGTAATTGAAGTTTATAATAGCACTTGCCAGCTACATCAAAAAGCTTGAAACCTACTTAAAATAACTTATCTCCGAAATATGCTATATGAACAAGACCAACAACACAGCGTTGTCTTTTTCTAAACATTTTCTTATGGTTGGTAAGAATGGATTATGAGAAGTTCTTTTTACACAACCAATCACATTGTCTATGTGACGTTTCGGTGACTAGTACGATATGTATAGGCACAATATAATTGTGTTTTTTAAATGTTTTTAATGGTTCAATTAATGCAGAAAGTGAAAATATATGGTCAATAGTGGAGTGATATCTTCGATACCCTGCTTGAATTTTTGATAATGAGTTCTACATTATCTGCATATATTTTTAATCGTTCATTAATTACATCTATAAATAATTTAGCTAGACAGCTAACCAAAATAATTGGACGATAGTTAGGGGCAACATACAAACTACCGTTATTCTTTAAACAGGGATGCTTTTTCTACACATGTGTCATAATAATAACATGTACAGTTTATGATCATTTGAATACTGGGGTTACTTATAATACAAGTAAACCCAAAAAGGGGAGTGATGGCCTCAAATGTTGATTTTTTAGATTGTATAACTGAACATCCCCATTGTATTAATAATCTTGCTGAAGAATTACGTAATCTCACAAATGATGACGATAGTGGTAATTTTATCAACTCTATCATTAATGATATATGTTACCTATTTACAAATGGTGCCAAATATGCATTTGAAACTAATCACGCTAAGCCAAATTCTGTAAATAAACATGTTTTTGAATTTAAAAAAAATGGTTTACGAGAATCTGTAAGTAAAGTAAAGGAACGGTTATACCAAAAATCCACTTTATCGTTGTGTCATCAAGCGTAATTTAGAGATTAAAAATGAACTCCGGACACTAAGGTCAAGAAATCAAAAAGAATACTAGAAAATAACTAATACAGGTAGTTCCCAAAAAATACTTGGAAGACTGGTATTGATGATCTTTTTAACTTTTTTTAACTCATGTTTTAACAAACAATTTGAAGGTGAAGATAATCATGTGCTATCTATTGATGAGCTTACTGAGCTGTCAAAACTGGAAGAAAATGCTTTTATAAATGAGCCAATACTGCCGAACGAAATAATGAAAAGTGTCAAAATAATAGAAAATAATAAGGCTGTTGGTGACGACATGCTATGTAACGAATATATTAAGTCAACAATTGATTTAATGATGTCATTATATGTTGAATTATCCATATTCATGTTCATATTCATGAATACTATAGCTAAATAAGATCGGGACATTTGAGTTTACCTACACGATCATTGACATTAATACTCAAAATTATAAACTGTTTATTATTGTTAAAGTCATTGTGGACTCCATCTGCGGCATATTATGCAGTTTTGAAAAAAGTTTGTTCGGGATCAGATCCCTCCCGAACAACTCCGTATTTCGGACGTTTGGCAGGAGGCGTCACTCGGTTGTTCTGACCGGATGTCGGCAGAAGCTGTCCATTGGGCGGTCCAGATGACGTTGTCGGAGACTGTCGATTGGTCGGATAAGATGACGTTGTGGAGGCGGTGGCGGATGTCCTAGAAGCGTCAATATACTCTTCTCTATGGCTGACGTCACTGCCCAGTGTGCCAACGGCAGGGTCTGTATAGCATTTACCATTGCTTATGAGACGGTCACGGACTGATTTAACACTTTTCCCTTGCTGTCGCAGTTCCCTAATAATGGCATAGAGTGTACCTCGTATTTCCTCAATATCAGTGGGAAAATGTTCATTAATATAGTGCTGAGTACCTTTGAGATGTCGGGCGTTTTTAAGCACATTAGCTCTCTCATGATTAAACAGGAATCTCGCGACAATCGGGCGAGGCCTTTTGCGAACATCCTTACCAAATCGGTGAGTGTTATCTAACTCAACTTTGTCAATTCCGCGTTGCTCGTGTAAAAAACAACGAAGATTGGCTTCAGTATTTTCGTTAGGTTCCACATAAAGTCCACTGAACACGAGGTTGTACTTCATTGATCTCCATCTCAGCTTAGTTACGCTCTTAGTGAGTTTAGCTTTACCTACTATCAGTTCATTAATGGATTTTTCAAAATATGTTACTTTCTCATTGTTCGCAGGTTTATTTGCAGATTTTTTCACTTTTTGGATTTCCTGTATATTTTTTTCCGACACAGTTTTAACTTGATCGTACATGGCACTAATTGTAGTACAGCTTGCCTTCGATTCCACATTTTTGGCCATTAACACAATTTTTTCAGATTCCAATGAACTTTGAATGAGAGCGAGTCGAGTGAATTCTGTACCAGGCTTAATTTGTTGTCAATTGGCTCTTAATCAACGGTACAATATGGTTCACTTGACCTTTTTCACCTGCAGACAAAACTCCTCTTGTCTGGGTAAGTATCTCTGAAGTGGAGTTATCAGACATGAAGCCCCCGGTAACAACGACGCGTGGACGGTACTCGTACGTTCACACTTACTTATATAAGAATTGATTGATAATACCCGAATTTTAAGTGTATTTTCCTATGCAGGCAAACAAAATGTTTTGCTACAATACACAACAGTCTTGCGAAGCTGAACGATTCAATGGATTGTTTCAGTCTACGCTTTACCCTGTTCCCCGTACCATGTACCCTGTTCCCCGAACCATGTACCCTGTACATGTACTTGCACAGTACGTATTTTGCATAACAACAGAGTGGATAAAATCGTTCCTGACGTATTAAAAAAGAATAGGTGAAAAATGTATTTAAGAATTGATTAATATTATATTTGAAAGTGTGTCCCTATGCAGACAAACATAATAGTCTGATATGATACACACCAAAGATTAACAAAGCTGAACGATTCGATTAATTGTTTCAGTCTACCCTGTACCCTGTACCCCGTGCCCCGTACCCCGTAATTATAAAATCCTCACAGCACAATGGATATGGTACGATATTGTTTCGTGTATTACTGCACAAAGGATACAATCTTCATTGAAAATGAGAAAGAGAAAGTTAGCTTAATTGGAATAAAATTAGAATTTGATAGATGATATAAGTAAGCCCTGTGAGTATATCACGATACAGCCCAGCAAAATAATTTGTAACACAACGCATATATAACATTTGCCTCTTGCTCGCCAGATGGGCGTTTAATTAACACCAATACAAAAAAAATGACAAACAAGATAGACATTTAAGGCATAGTCTTATCTCGTATGCAATCATAAACAAAAATATCTCACATGACTTAAATAACATGATTGTGTACCCTCTGAAACTTTTACATGAAAACAAATGATGTTCCTAATCACAGAGATCACTCCGCTCGCTCAGAAAAAAACGAAGATAATCCCTCCGCCTGAGGGCGGGGAAAACAAATACTTCTCATCAGGATAGGTGGTACATTTAGGACATGCACACTATTATTTTCTACATTAATTATCTCGAGCTCTCTTGAAGAATAAATCTAATCCGGTGGTATTTTGTGGTATTTCAACAGAATGAAATAAAGATTACATCTAATTGGATTTTAGTGGTCATTGGTGTTCAAGTTTCAAAGGTCAAAGGTCACATTTAATTTACCATTTCCTGATCGCAAACTTAGATATAAATTTGTGAGCTACTGCGTACTAGTACTCTGTTTTCATTGGAACTGCAAGAAAATAGCCACACGTTAACTTGAAAAAAATATGAGCTGGTTTTTTTATTATGTTTGTCAGTCTACAAAATGATAAAACAGTCGTAATTGTCCATGTATTATATTCTCTTCTCAACTCATGGCCTTTCCGTCATATTGCAACTTGATCTAGATCTCTGAATTTGTGAAACGTTAAAAATAAGTCTGTTACGTTTAGTCAATTTAACCAATTGTATTCATAGAAAAAATCAACGTCGATGCGCAACGAAAACAGAAGGACAAATTACAACGTCGAGGTCCATGATATGACATCGAGGGAGCAATAATACGACGTCAAGGGAGAGAGACAAGTAATGCTCGGTTGCCGTTGTATTTGCGCGTTATTGCTGAATACGAGATTTGTTATTTTGCACTAGCCGTCAGCAATACAGAAGAGAAAATGGTCGAAATTTGTACCGCAATGTGAAATGAAAGCCTATGTTATAATGTTT